ACTTTAGATCAGTAGGGTGTTTAATTTACTACAGCATGTTATTGCTTAGTGTGGTACCTTGCATGATTAGTTCCATAATCCTGTGGGCATTTTATCCAGACTTACTTATATAGGTGGATAAATTTATCATAAAAAATGTGCCCCCTTTAAATATTGTTGAATATTTTTTGCCAGTACCTGATAACCTAGTTCTTTTGTTTTTATTATGTTTCTGCTATTTTCTAAATAAAGACTATATAGATAAGTCACCAGGGTAGAAGGGTGCTATAATTATTAATTGGCCCATAACATCAGAAATTTTGGTTTGTTATTATCATATGTCTATGTTTGATGCATATGATGTATGTATAGACAAAATATGGTATAACCATCTCTATGGCTCTTTCTGTTTTTACTTGAAGGAATATGATTTTGTTTTCACCATTGATGTGAATGAAAGTGGGCCTTCCTACAAGCTGCCATATAACATGAATGATGATCCCTGGTTGACTGCATACAACTTCCTTCAGAAGAATGATCTAAATCCCATGTTTCTGGATCAAGTGGCCAAGTTTATTATAGACAACACCAAAGGTCAAACACTGGGGAATACAAATGCTGAATTTTCAGATCCCTTTACAGGTAAAAAATAAAGCCATTACTGGTGCACCCATATTTCTGAAGCTTTAATATCTGTGTTCATAAAGTGCATAAAAATGTGTTTTCTCTTCTAACTTTAGGGTACAATGTGTGCGGTTATTTTTTTGATACTTTCACAAATCTGGAATGTGATCTTAGAATCCTGGGAAAGCATCTTGTATATCAACATACAAATGAGCCAACTCTTGCTTCCCAAGTACCATATCTAATATTCATAACAGATCCCTGTGCCTTGTTGTTCTAGCCTCGCTACTTGGATTCAGTTTGTTTAAACCATGTTTTTAGAGCATTGCTTGTGTTTGATCTTCAGTGGAATTGGTTGAGAAACCTAAGAGCTTTCATCTGGCCTTCGAGGTTGTTTACATCTTCAGCAAACAATTTGTCAAATTTTAGAAAACTGAAGTTTTCTGTTCTTCAATTCATGCTTTTTTTATCCTAGTCAGTAGGGGTGTTCGAAATGGGCCCTATTCGATTTGAACTCAGCCCGAATTGGGGACAGTGATTCGATTCATTGATTTGGATCCCTGTCCCCGATTTAGATTCGGCCAAATCCGAATTTGAAGATTTGATGCTGATTCAGAGAATCAGCAATTCAGACATAAACACAGCTTTAAGTGTTTTTTCTACATACCTTGAGGTAGCAGGCACGGCTCGTGATCGTTGTGATGCTGGGGCCGATGAAGTGTCCCACAAGAGTGCATGCTCGGCAGCGAACCCGGAAGTACAGGACTACGCCCCCTGGCGGTCCGGCAATCAGCCGCAGGGGGACACCCCTGACCCAGGAGGTACCAGTTACTGAGCGGGGGGACCAGAAGTACCCCTGGTCCACTTCTGGGTCTACTGCCGAGCACGTTGGGGAGCCTCCCATGCTTCTGTGGGATGCTCCATCCGCTCCAGCATCGCAAGATTCATGAGCCACCTGCTACCTAGAGACAGCTTTAAATGTTTTTTTCTACATACCTCTATCTCTGAATTGCTGAATCTCTCCAAATCGATTCGGAGGGTTCCGATTCAATTCAGAGAGATTAAAGGGTCCTTTGATTCGATTTTGGAGATTTGGCCACTGAATCAGGCCACATCTCCGCCCCATCAAATCAGGGATCAAAGCTTCGAATAGCCCTACTAGTCAGTAATAACTGGAAAGCTTTTTAAAGCTGTATAACTCTATTTTTTACCTCTTTTTAATTAATCTCAGGTTTTAAAACAAAAACCAACTTTAGTACGTAAAGAACAAAAAAACCCAAAAATGTCAACCGGGGTTGTGGGGGGTTGTTTTGGGGAGCTGGGGGAAGGAGAAGAGGGGTGGCAGTGTTGGTTGAGGTTTTGTTTTTGAGACTGGAATATTCCCGAGGGTGGGAGTGGTGTGGGGATGTGATGTCCACATTATGATAATGGGTGAAAAATAGATGAAGCTGATTAGAAATAAAAATAACTAATGTATGCCTGCAACTTTTTAACTTTAACAGATAGTAAAAAGGAAGCCTACTTAATAGATGTTATTTAGAAGTTAGTATCTCTGTTTAGTTAAGTGTCAAAGATACAAATATGCTTTGTAAATGAACAGTGTAAGATCCTAAATAGAATGTATTGTCATCGTGTCAGAATTTAGTGAATTACAAAAAGAAAACCGCATAAAATACAAAGTAAATTCCTTTCTGATTTAGCAATCTAAGGTAGGTTATAGCAAGAGAAATTTTAAGGACAGTACAGCTGAGTCCTTCAAGTAATCAGGCCTAGTGAACTTGCATAATCTTGTATGCAGAGATGTTTAATGGTGCCTTGCTTTTGGAGATATTAGATATACAATACAAGTCTCCATTTAAACAGAATGACCAAAAGAGCTATAGCATTTTTGGTGTAAAACTACCTTGACAATTTTCCAGGAGCCTTGTGGTCCACAGTGAAAGTATAGCTATGTATATATTTCTTTAACAAAAACTAAGCTCCACTGGCTATTAGAATCTTAGAAAAGTAAGACTGGAAAGTACCTCAGGAAGTCATTTAATTCAAGCCAGTCCTCAAGTCAGGGTCATGCTTGATTAAGCCATACTAGTCAAGTGTCTGTCTAACCTGCTTCTAAAAACTTTACAAGGATGGAGATCACACAGTTTCTTTAATATGTTCTAAAATGTAACCATCCTTAGAGAAGGTTCTTTGTATTACCAAGCTAAATTTCTTTGGCTGTAGTTTAAGATCTTATTCCTGTCCCGTCTCCTGCAGCCATGGAGGTGTCCATCCTCTGTATAACATCCCTTCATGTATTGAAGGCTGTAATTGGCTCCCCCCTCGGTCTTCTCTTCATGTCTCCCAGACTTCTGGTCATTCTTGTTGATCTACTCTGGAGTCTTTCTAATTTGTCCACATCTTTCTTGAAAGTACATGCCCCAAACTTGGCACAGTACTCTAGGTGAGGTTTCACTAGAGCCAAATAAAGCAGAAGAATCACTTCCTTTGACTTGCTAATGGTGCTTCTTAATACACCCTAGACTTAAAAGTATTTGGATTCACTTACAAAAAAAAGTCCCTGCAGAAGATCAGTTTTCCCACTGTTAAGTCACAGCTACATTTGTCCTCTGTGTGTACCATATTTGAGCCATTCTTGTTGATTTTAAAGAGTAACCAAAATAGATGGATCTTGATAAATACGATCAACGTGAGAATAAATGGATCTTGTTTTGTTGCTTGTTACTTCACAGGTGCTGGTCGCTATGTTCCAGGTTCTTTGTCTGGGTCAGATGCAGTCCCTGCAGCAGATCCATTTACAGGTATTGTACAATTTACAGTTTTTGTTACATATGCCAAGGTAGGGTTTTTTTCCAAGTCCCAAACAGTGGCCAGCTCAGAGATCGAAAGTTTCCATTCAGTTCTCCACTTCAGAACCACAGTTTTGACTCTTAGAGTTCTGTGCCTACAAAAATGAGATATCTAATATGGCATAGAGTAAGACAGGTATAAGGAAAAGCTACACAATTATTGTTGTTTTGGTATAGTATCTAGTTAAAAATATTTAATTTTACTTTGAGAACCATAAAAACTGTTGTGTGTGTATGATATTAAATAGCTGTAAAATCTAGTGACCTTTTTACTTGTTATGCTGTGGTAGAAATTGACATAATCTCTCATAGAAACTCTCACATCTCTTAGGTGCTGGCCGCTATGTTCCTGGTTCAGCGTCAAATACTGTTGCTTCCCTAAGTGTAGTTGATCCATTTACAGGTAAGAGATTGATCTGGCAAGCAGAAAAGCGTTCTTTACCTTTTAACTTCAGTTTCTCCTTTAACACTTTACTTGAGATGAGATACATAATTTAATCTAAAATTTGAAAACAACTGCAACAAAGCTGCTTACACGTCCCCAAAACTGAGTGAAAAAGTAGAGGAAGTTTTTTAGTTAATTGTATATCCTCTATATGTACTTTAGTGGGAATCTATTGGGAAAATTTCAAAGTAAAGGTGCTAATCTGTCCCTTGAGCGTGGAGGTTTATGCTTATGTTAAATGGACTTGCCACTAATAGTGCTTCCAGCTAGAGAAATGAGTGTGTTCAGTTGAAATAAGCTGAATTTGACTAATTATATTTACCCTTTATAAATATAATTCTGGCACAGCTCAAAAGACAAACCTATTAATTTATGGCTAAACTAGGAGAAAATGCCTTTCCAAAGAAATCTGCAGCCTCAGGTCCATATAATGTAAGTATTTAGATTTAGCTGCGAGTTCCTGCAGATCTCAAATAAACTACACTTTTAATTACAGAAACATTAGCATAAAATATTTTATTGAGTCTTTGTTTTAAAATTTGGGCTTGTCCATACCCACATCTTGGCTATGATATTTAATTCCAGAAAATATGGAGTAATTAGGATTTTATTGTAATCTAGATATCAGTTAGCAATTCAGTATTGTGTAATAAAGAATTTGGAAAACTGTGTTGCTTATTTAACAAAAAAGGCCTTTTTTGTTTTCATAAGTATTTTGTTGTGGGCACTACCTGTGTACCTACAACAGTGATAAATATTTATATAAACATATGGAAATAAGATAGCTTTCCAGAGAATAGCTGGCAAGGCTGGCTTTCTTAATAATAATAAAAAACACCCCAAGGGTGGTTACTAGGCCTGTGCGAATAGGGAAGTATTAGATTCGGATTCAGAGGACAGTGATTTGATTCAGAGATTTGGATTGTTGTCCCAAATCGACTTGGCTGAATTGGCTTTGGAAGATTCAGCGCTGATTTGGATTGGCTGGGGAGAGAGGCAGCAGGCTGTCCCGTGGCTCCTCCGGCTGTGCCTGCCTCTTCCCTGGGCAAGGGGAGCCAAGGGAGAAGCCTGCATGGCTGCCCTGCCCGGCTCGCTCCAGCCTAGTCACGGCACTTAAAACAAAAAAAAAAAACACACAAAAAAAAGCCCCACACTCACTGGCTGCAGCAGCAACGATTGGGGCCTCTGGACGCTTGTGGCAGGGTCCCAGCGTGGGGCCAGCAGTGTTTGCCCACTCCCCTCACCACTTGGCACCTGCACGGCAGCAGTCACATCGCATGGGTGTGGGGCAGCGCAGCAGGGTGCTGCGCGCTGTCTGGGAGCTGGGGCTGAGCGGTGCTAGAGCTCCCCAGCTCCCAGACAATGTGCTGTGTCCTGCTGAGCCATGCTGCACCTGCCATGGGGCAGGTGCCAAGCGGGGGGGGGTGATCCCCACTGCTCCCCTCTGCATGGGGGGCATTCTGCCATGAGCCCTCAGAGGCCCCGATCGCTGCTGCCAGAGATGGTAAGTTACAGGACTTTTTTTTTTTTTTTTAAGTGCCGGGAGACTGGTCTGGGTGGGGGGATGGGGTTGGGCAGGGCAGGCATGGGGGCTTCTCCCGCAGCTCCTTCAGCTTTGTCTGCCTCTGCCCTGGCTGAGGGAGCCATGGGGGCTATGCCCTGCTGCCGCTTGCCCAGCCAGCGTTGGGGGGGGGGTGGAGGCAGGCAGGGGGCATTATGCAGGTGCAGCTTGCTGCAGGCGGCAGCAGGGCATAACCCCCACTCCTAGCACTGTTGTACCGCATCAGCGCTGGGAGCAGGGGCTCTGTCCTATTGTTGCTTGCCCCCTCTGTCTGGAGTGAGCCGCATGTGCATCCTGCCCCGCCTCCGTCCCGGATGGGCAAGAAGCAGTAGAGCAGAACCCCCACTCCCAGTGCTGCCATGCCCACGTCCCATGCCTCCCTGCCCCAGCTAGGTAGCTTGTCCCAGCCCCAACCCCTCCCTCCTCCAATCCCAACAGATTTACCAGCTGGAGGCAACTGTCAGCTGCCTGTTTAGCCTATGGCTGAATCTCCAAAGCAGCCAAAGCTTTTCCGAATCAATTTGGAGATTTAAACTGGTCCCCCGATTTGATTAGGATTCTGTGATTTGGTCCCCGAATCGGGCCAAATCTCCTCCAAATCAAATCAGCTACTGAAGTTTCATATAGCTCTAGTAGTTACTCATTGTTATCAAATTATAGCTGTATTCTGTTGGAAGTTCTAATACCTATCTTCTTATATAGGAAACGGTGCTTACCATTCAGGTGCAGCAAAAGCTGAAAATATTTATTTTCCAAAGAAGGAGGCGGTTACTTTTGACCAGGCCAATCCAACGCAGATACTGGGTGAGAAATTAAATTTAATTTCTTTGAATTTATACCTCCTCTTCTTTCTCAGGCCTTCCAAAAAACTGCTGTTTTTACCACTCTTATTGGCCTAGTCTTGCACAATTAAAATGTTTAAAGCTATTATCATTTTGTGCCATGAGATTAATTATCTACATTTTAGATTTAAAAAATGTAAGTAGGAGGCCAGGATAGATGTCACGAAGGGCTTTCTTTTATGTAAATAAAAAAAATCTATTGCTTTATCCCTGTAATACAAGTCTCGCATACTTGTTCCTGCTTGTTTGGCATTTGGCTATGCTTTTGAGAAATGCAAGTCTTTTCTGCACCTGCTGGAGTGGAGCTTGCGTGAAGGCAGTGTTAGTTCTCCATATAGTCAGAGCTTGAAAATACACCATGTACTTATGTCTTCCTTGCATGTTATGTCCTCTGTGGTTTCACAAATTATGTTCAAAAGGACCATTGTACTTATTTAACCTGACCATGCTGCATGAAATATGAAATACAACAGTTATGGACAGAAACTTTAATTGTACCTTGATTGATTTTTTTTGTTTTGTTTTGTTTGTTTGTTTGTTCTTTTTTTTGTTTTTTTGTTGCACCTTTCCTTTCTTTAGTCCACTTTTTTCTTTCCTGCAGTAGCTCCTAGTGGTGCCAGTTACCTTTTTTTCTCTTTCCTTGTAACTTTGTTTCTATCTACACTGTTTTCTTTTGTCTCCTTCCCTCTTTGGGTAGGGACAGAAATGACACCTAAACAGGTGTAAGTGATCAGTAGCCAGTTCAAATCTGTAACACAATACAAGTTCAGTGCACGTAAACTGCTTTCAAAATGGCCAAAACCAGTTTAAGATATAAGATAAACCTGGATGGGATGTAGCATCAGACTTAACTGATTATAGATTAAATAAGTTTATTGAATTTCTGTCCCAGGTTCCCTCCAGATTTCAAGTTAACGCACAGCCCCCCAGCATTCCAGGAAGATTTGCACCTCCCCAACAAACCCCCGCCCCTCCAAGGGTGGGCGCACTAGCCTGGGCTCAAGCTGTCTGCTCCAGCTGAGCAGGGAGGCATGCTCTAGCACCCCCTCCCCCCCCAAGCTTCTGGCCTGAGCCACTACAGGCATCTGGCTGCATTTCCAGAATCAAATGCAAATGTCTCTTCACTTGCTTATTGGTTCAATCTACACAGTTTAGATTAATTTGCAAAGTTTGAATCGATTCAGCCTCGGGCTTTTTAACTGTCAACTTAGCTTTGTCATGTCTACCTGGTTTCTTTACTGTTGTCTCTCTCTCTTTTTTTCTAATTATCTAGTGCATTTGAGAATCCTATAAATCTAATTTTTTTAAGTAATGCTCAAGCTGTGATACGTTCTATGCACATTTTAAAGCAAGGCATACTTGCCTACCTTGAAGATCATGCAGTCAAAAATTTCTCATTCCCGCTAACATCTCTAGCATTTCATTTTTATCTACTTCCTGATCGTCCCACCCTTTTATGTTCTTAAAAGAGTTGAAAATATACTGTATGCTTAGGTGATGCGCAGTACTTACTTATGCCAATTACTTGGAAAGAATACAAACATGGATTCCCATGAGAGTGCTGTTCTTAGATCTTGTCTCTCTCTCTCTTTCTGTACTCTGTGCTTAAAAGGCATCAGCCTAAACCCTTGGTGTCATCCCCAGTCCATGCTGGAAAAAAAAGAGAGCATTCTTTGTTACTCTGTAAGGTCTTAACTACTTGCAGATGCTGGTGATCTTTTGTCATCCTATGCTTGCTCTCCTTTCTGGGACCTTTCTAGTAAATAGTTCTAGTTTTGCCTCCAGTGCTGCTCTTTTCATTCTGTAGCATCTCTCGAATTTTTGCCCACAGTTTCCCAAAGGGTGGTGAGACCTACAAGACCAGGCAGTTTTCATTCTGTCACATTTTAGCAAAGCAAATAGCATCAGATACTACTGTTCATAGACTTAAGACCTTATTGCCTTCATTTACACTTAATTTAATTTTTGGAAGGTTGCGTTTGCAATAGTAAAGACTTTTAATGACAGGTTAGAAACTGACACATTCATGTCACTCATCCAGAAAGTTTCCAAGCCCATGGTGCAGATATTTTTCCAACCACAAATTTCCTGAACTTAGCAGCAGATGCTTCTGGTTACAAACAGTGCAGGTTTTTCATGTAATGCCTGAAGTAGTCCTTTCAGGACTTTCCATTGATTTCTGTCCTCATAAAAGTTAACAAGACAAGAAGTTGAAGTAGTACTGTCTGCTTATACCTTTTGATGGAACTAAATTTTGTGATGTCTGAAAGCGATATAGAAGTTGGCCTTTTCTGCATTTTCAAATTTGTTGGAACTACTCAAATGTTCTTAAATTATCACAGTTGGAAGTGTAGCTTCCAATTCATGAACAAAGGGGTGGGTGGGTGGGTGGGTGTGTGTGTTGTCTATACTTGCACATGTGCTGTGTCACATGTTCCTGGCACTTAACAAGCAGGTATTCCTGTGTAATATTAAAGAAATCATGGAACATGAGTTTTTGTGCAAAAAATCTCTCAAAGGCTATGACGATAGTTGAAGCTTAGTACTTTTGAGATGATTTGTAGATTGCTTTAAGGATTTCATATGATGCAGTAAGTCATACTTGATTTTTGGTTATGCAGGTAAACTTAAAGAACTTAATGGAAGTGTATCTGATGAACAAAAGCTGACAGAAGATGATTTGATACTCCTAGAAAAGATACTATCCATAACATGTAATAGCTCTGCAGAAACACCTACAGCACAGCAACTACAAGTTTTGTGGAAAGCAGTTAACTGGCCAGAAGGTATGATTTTTATTTTGCATTACAACACCTAGAAACTTCAGTTATGAACTAGGATTCCATTGTGCTGGCTTCTTTACAACCATGGAATAAAGGCAATCCCTGTCTCAAAGTTTGCAATTTAAATGTAAGACAAGAGACTGCAAATAGAAGCAGACCGATGGGAAAGGTTAAGGAAACAATGAGACCAGTATAATTCAGCCAGAGAAGTAAGGGTGATACCCATGTTACAGGCAACGTGGCAGAAATATCTATAGTGAATGAGAAATAACACTTTAGCATTTCCCTCTGCTTCTCCTTTAAACCATTTTTAGCCATCCTGGTTTTGAGCTGACAGACATCCACAAAACTAAGCTTTTTAGCTTGGGCAGGAGGTAAGAGGTTTATTTGTAAAGGACAATTGATGTTCATCCCATCTTTGAGTCGGTAGCTGTATCCCTACTGTGCATGTCTGTTCCTCCAAATACTCAGGCTAATTATTTCTCTTTCTTCCTCAAATCACTAATTTGGGGTTATGGTGCTGTAGATTCCTAATTGTATTGCTTAACAGCCTGTCATTTTTCCATTGTTAAATCAAGCTGTTCTGAATACAGCTTCCCTGGAGCTCATTAGTCTTAAGTTGAAAAAGTGGCACACTTAGAAGTGATTTATATGAGCAAGATTTTGAATTGTGAAGTACTACAGTTTATATTCTGCAAGCAGCTGGGATGTGGGTATATAAGATGGTATTTTACTCGGCTTTAAAATGGCACATTTGACTTAGTTTTAAGTAAATACGCACTTTCACTTGGGTGCGCACCGTCTGTGTACTAAAATTTAAGGAACTGAATTTAGTTTGTTTTTAAACTGTGTATTGGACAGATATTTGTGTGTAGAAAATTGTTCATTTCCTTTGTTCACATGAGTCTGCCTTGTAAATACCAAAGGAAAATAACATAGAACCATAAATGCTGGTAGAAAAGCTAGAGATGGGTATAATGCCTGAATTGTTTTATAACTTAAGTTTTTTAAGTGGACTAGGTTTCAGATTGATACTGTTCCTTAACTCTTCTTAAGATTGGATAAAATAATTACTGTTAAAGGCAGCTGAGAATAGATAGAACTTTGCCCTGTAGAAATAATTGCTTCTAGCTGTCAAAAAGATGCTAGATTCAGAATGGAAGGGGAAGGTGATCCTTCAGCCATTTGCTGTTTAAAGATGCTTCATGCCGTAGCCTTTTGAATCAGCAATATTCCATGTCCATGTTCCACTTTTGCCTTCATCACTTTGTTAATCTGAATTCTTAAGGCAAGATGTCATTGGAGTCTCTGTGATGCTTTCCAAAGTCAACATACAAAGCAACATGAGTTTCTGGCAAATGCCTGAAATTTTTCCAAGAATTGGGGTGTTGTCCTGTAGGGCCAGGCCAACTCTCAGGATCTCAAAATTGCACTGTTAGATGGGAGGGTGTGACACAACTGCACATATACAAACACACAAATCAATTAGGCATACACACACACACACACACACACACACCGCCTGCCCCGCCCCCCCAAATTCAGGCGCGCACACGCATCCAAAGTTACCAGCCTAGGCACATGCATACCTATCACCAATTCAAGCACATACACACTACACACACCAAAAATTAGACAAAATCAGTTACCAACACCTGCACGCTCAGTACACATACATGGATCACTAATTCATATATCACGCACACAATGACGTGTATATTCACCAGTTCACACACGTACCACCCACCTACACACACAGGTGAGTTCCTAACTTGGATGGTACGGTGTGTATGTATGTGCTTGGGGTACTTGGGATACCTGGGGGGAAGGTTATGGTGAGAGAGTGAAAGTGTAGGGAGTGAAAGTTGCCGGGACCAGGATTAGAACCGGTAGACTAGAGAGAAGCTGGGCTGAGGAACTGAGGCTTGGGGTTACTTAAGGTCAAGTGGCCCCAGAGTTACTCGAGGTCACTGGTACTGGGGTGGAAGCAAGGGAAAAAGCCCAGTGGCAGGGAGGAGACAGCCAGGAAAGAGAGGCAGAAAGCTGGGAGATGGGGGCTGGGAACAAAGAGGCAAAAAGCTGGGGGATTTGGGGCGGAGGGTGGGGAGGTCAATAAGACAAAAACCCAACTCGGCGTTTCAAAATAACAGGTTTATTAAACAAACAACACACTACACAGCCCCATAAAGTTATTGGTTCCTATACACACACTCACATACACACCCACACAATGGTAGCAGGAGAAAAAAAGGCTTGGTGGAGGGATTGAAGTCAGGGTGTGTAGGGACAGAGTCCAGGTCCTTTGCTTGGGGAAGGAAGGTGGGTGATAGCTACCTATCCTGGGCTGTGAGTTGATCCTCAATGGCCAGTTGGGGTCTTCTCCAACAAGGTGTAGTCCAGAGGGGGTCTCTGGCAGGGCCTCTGGGTGGCTAGGTAGTGTGGCATGGTGCTGGTCCAGATGGAGAGGTCGTCCCACTGGGTCTGTCTTCACTGCCCGCTTTTATAGGGCAGACGTTCTATGACCCTAGTGGCAGGGGCATGCCTAGGCAAGAGTCAGCCGCTGGTGTACTGAGCATGTGCACTCCGGGCGAGGACATACAGTTTCAGTTATCTGTAATGATGGGTTGGCTGATTTCTGCAGCAGTCTTTGTCTTCCAAATCTTGAGCCAGGGAGAGTCAATGCAGGGTGATGGTTGGGTTGTGGAGTTGATGGTTCAGTCATTCAGAGGGAGCTATTTTTAGACTATTGCCATTGTGTATCAATCACCCATTCACTCAGGAACCAGTTTACATGGGAGGAGGGTTGTGAGTCACGCAGTTACAACAGAGTTACAATAGGATATGCCCAGACAGGGGACACAAAATGGAAACTTGACATGACTTATGCTAACTTACATATGTAGGCCTAAATCATATAGTATCAGTAAAACAGTAATATAAAAGAGTAAAAATCAATATAAACATAATAATTATACAATATAAAACAGTGTCTATCCATAACAGAGCACTTACTTGAAAACAAAGAGAAAAAACAAAACAAATACAACTTGCTACCAAAATAAAATGCTGAAGCTTATCCTATGTCTTAGCTCACTTATACTTATCTATAGGAAATAGAGAGGGAGAGAAAGTCAGAAATAGATGGGGAAGGGGAGGGAATGCATTTAAAAGAAAAAAAAAAAAGAGAAGAAAAACGGGGGGTTTTAGTACAGGGGTTGTCTAAAATCCCTTTTTTCATAGGGATTTCCACAAGTTTGAAATACTGAAAATTTGGGGAAATGGGTTCATCATGAATCTCCCTTGTTTTCTATATCAGCAGGGGTCAACTTCTTTTTGGAAGGTGTGCCACAAATTAAGCCCTGTGCCCTCCAGGAGCACTACTCCAATCCCCTTCTGCCAATCTTCTTCCCTGATCTGCTCTGCTATGCTACTTGCCCCCTACCATAAGGGGTGCACATAGGTGCTGCCAGTGCCACAGGTTGGCTTCCCTTGCTCTGTACCATGTGTTGTTTTTTTTTTAATACCTCCTTGAAAGCAGGAGTACAAATCTGTACAACTGAGGAAAGCTCTAGAAGACTCGTATAGAATGGAATGCAAGTATAATACTAAAACATGTTTTTCTTGTTTCTTAGATGTTGTCTTTCCAGCATTAGACATTCTTCGATTATCTATAAGGCATCCCCGGGTGCATGAGAATTTCTGCAGTGAAAAGGATAGTATACAATTCAGCAGCCACCTTCTAAAGTTTCTGAATCCTAAAGGAAAGCAAGCAAACCAGTTGCTGGCACTTAGAACTCTTTGCAATTGTTTTGTCAGCCAGGCAGGCCAGAAGCTGATGATGTCACAGAGGGACACAATAATGTCACAAGCAATAGAACTGAAATTATGTGGCAATAAGAACATTCATGTTGCACTGGCCACGTTGACCTTGAACTATGCTGTTTGTTTACATAAAATCAATAACATTGAAGGCAAAGCTCAGTGCTTGTCAGTGATCAGCACAATCATGGAGGTTGTTCAAGACCTTGAAGCCATTTTTAGACTTCTTGTGGCTCTTGGGACACTAATCAGTGACGATACAAATGCTGTGCAATTAGCCAAGTCCCTAGGAGTTGACTCTCAAATAAAAAAATATGCCTCTGTATCAGAACCAGCTAAAGTAAATGAATGCTGTAGGTTTGTCCTTAATCTGCTGTAGTGTTTTTTTGGTTGGTTTTTTTTAGGGTATTTGGAAGTCTAAGAATATGCAGAAAGATGATGCTTTTTCATATTTTATGTGACTCAGTATATCCAAGAAAATACTGTGGATGAAAAATAAACTTGATGATCTAATTTGTCATGAGTAAAACAGACTAAATAAAGTTTTGCACTGGTGGTTTTTACTGTGTGAAAGATGAGACTTGTTACAATGTATTCCTGTCTTAAGCAGTGATCCAGTTTGGTCTCTCTCAAAATATAAAACAGTCAAATTTGGTTAGATTTGAAAGAAAGACCATCAGGAAGATCTAAGTCAGGGGTGGGCAATATGTGGCCTGAGGGCCGGATGCAGCCCGCAAAACCATTCTATGCGGCCCATGGGGCCCCTAAAAAATTTAGAAAATTAATATTTATCTGCCCCTGGCTACCTGTCATGTGGCCCTTGATGGCTTGCCAAAACTCAGCAAGCGGCCCTCCGACCAAAATAATTGCCCACCCCGATCCAAGTGGTGTTCAATTTTCTTCTGTGTCATTCCTGAAAACACACAAAGCTGAGTGGCTTTGTATCTGCTTCCTAATGCTGTTTACCAGTCAATAGAAAGCTAAGACTGTTGCCAAATGTAACTGTTAAAAACTGCCCACTAATAAGCTTACTGGCCTCCACTGCAGACTATGTAGCTGTTCTGCAGTTTCAAGTTTACTACTTTTCTGAAGCTCTCAGCAGCATAGTTTTGCTCCCAGGTCATTACTTGCAGTTTTGTAGCTGCTATCCCTGTCCTCTCTGGGCTGCTTACTTTCTTGCAGCTGGCACTAGCTCAATTGCCTGTGACAGATTGCAGCCCTAAAATGCTGCTTCCTCACTCTTAGGCTAAGTACAGATAGTCAAAAAGCCTGAAGTTTAATTGATTCAGTCTTTGCAAGTTAGTCTAAGTTGCAAATATTAAACTGAGAAACAACTAGACACATTTACCTTTGATTCAGGAAATGCAGCCACATGCCTGCAGTGGCCCAGGCCAGAGGCTGGGGGGTGCTAAAGCAGGGCTCTAAAGCACTTCCTTGTCCTGTTGCCCCCGAGGTCTCTGGGATTTGCAGTCCATCACAGCAGCCCAGTTACAGGGTTGCTCATCACCAGCTATCCTAGTTTTCTCTGATTAAAAAAAAAAACAATTTTCTGTTTAAAAAGAGAAACCTCAATCCACATTTTCTGTTATTTAAATGAAACACCACTATATATCTATATCTAAAATGGTGTTCCATTTTAATCATGGAAAAATGTGGATTTGGGGTTACTTTTTTTAACTAAACATTGGGGATTTTTTTTAATTGGAGTAAACCAGGATCCCTGCTCATCACTTCCTCTTCCTGCTTCCAGGTGGCTCTGGGACTTGTAGTCCACAGTTGCAGCCAGCAAGAAGATTTTGCAGGGCAGGACAGCTCTGTACTCAGGGGAAGGGAAGTTTAACCCCTATCGCTGGCCCCAGACCCCAGCTGGGGTTTACCAGGAGCCCCCTCAACCCTGCTCTGCTGGAGCAGACAGTACAGCCCAGCCCAGGGCTGGAAAGCATGCTGAGGGACTGTTGATTTGACTTGAACCAGGAAGGGGTCTAGGACAGAAGTTTCATAAACCAGTTTGACCCGTATGAATTATGTCTGATAAATACATTCAACCAGGTTTATCTTAAACCAATTTCAGCCATTTTGAAATTGATTTATGTGCACTGAACTTCTGTTACTGGTTTAAACCAGTTTCTGATGATCACTTAAACTGGTTTATGTGTAGCTTCTGTCCCAGTAACAGGGTTGGGGCCCCCAGTTACATCTTTCATTAGCAAGTCTGCTGTGTTTCTGATCTTAGAAGAAAAGGAGTCTAGCAAGAAAGAACATGTCACTTTTGTCCTATTAAAGCTGTGTTTTAATTATGATGTTAGAATACTCAACTCCAAACCATGACTCATAGTTTCATAGTAGCTAGGGTCAGGAGGTTCCTAGCTCCTGCATAGGAAGACAGAATTTCCTAGATAAGAAGCCTGTCTATTTCATGGTTAAGCAAATAGGATACCAGATGACTAAGGAAGCCCCATTTCTATTCCAGTTTTGCTATTGACTTCATCTGTGCTCTTGAGTCAGTTGCTTTAACACTGGTCTCATTCTCCCTGTATATAATAGGAATAAGCCTATCTTCATTTTGTAGCAGAATTTTAAATCTACAGATGAAATGGCTTTATGTGAGAGTTTGTTAATAGACACTCACTCTCATCGAGGGCGCAGTCACAAGCAGACATGGAATAAACCAGTGATGATATTCATGTTGGAAGAAAGAATTAATTCTATTAGTAGATGTTTAGGACTCTGAATCCAAAATGATGACAAAGCCAATAGGGAAATACAGATACCCCGAGCGAGGGACCAACATAAGAGGGATGGGGGTGAGGAGGGGAACACAACTAGGTTACAGAAAATACAATGTTAGCCAACGATTTGAAATAATCCTACAGTATAATTTTGCAGGGACTCCATTCAGAGTGGAACTGTACTGTAACTATTCTATGGATGTTATCACTTCTGCATACAATAATGCACACCTTATAGGGCATTACTTGTGAATACAACCTGTTATAAGGATCACTAGAATGCTTTGTGATATCTCATGCATAGTGCTTCCCTATAAATACATTTAAAATGTAAATCAATTGGACCCTGTCAACTCCTCCTTATCAATGTCCTATCAAGTCACAGCAGTGATTTCTTCAAGCAGTTCACCCTTATCTTGTATAGTGCTGCGCACTGTGATAACTAGTTAAAGGAAAAGTAAACAAACTCAAAATCTGATAAGAATAAATAGTGAAGGCTTCCCATTAATTTTGCAAGGACTTGGCTACCCATTAAAGGTTTAAAAAAGAAAATACTCTGTAACAGGATGATTGGCAGGGCTGTTAGAATTCTGAAAGTTTCAAATTTTCAGATTTGCTGTGAATTTAGACTCCCTCTGATGATATTAAATATTTGCTTTCTATAGGCTTGTATTTCGAGGAAATGTGTTTCCAACCTTTCTGGTTTCAAGGATAAACTTGTAAAAGTAAATAAACAGAATTTCAGCCAAACAGACTGAAATATGGCCAGGGTGATGTGAGAATAAATCCTGAGGCTGTTTCAACACTAACACCCCCTGCCCCCATGGGGAAGGGAGCCAGACTAGGCTCTTGAACTCTTGACTCAGCTCCAGGCTCTTGACTAGGACCTCAAACCCAGGAAGCTAGCAAGCCTGCCAGTTGGCCACTACACAGGGTCTGAGGCTAACAGCCTCATCCATAGGACTCCTTAATCCATAGGACTCCTTAATCAGTGATGCCATAATAATAATAATAAAACAACCCCACGGGCAGGGAGGGGAATACAGTTTTACATGTCAAGCATCTTGAACACACTTGGGAGATAGGCAAATCTGCCATGGCATCAACACGATAGGCCTTTGTGGTTCCCTCCTGTCAGCACCTCTTCTTGGGCTAGCAGTCTTCCAATGGACTGAGCCAGGCCCCACCCCTGCGGCACCAGCCTGCCTGCAGACTTGCTTTTCTCTCATTCCGCAATACAGGCACTCCAACTTTGTAGTTTGTAATTAGGCCCAAGATGTAGGGTCTGGGTCTCAATCCCAAGCCAAGGCACTCAGGCAAAGAATCTCAAACTCAGCTTGCTCCTAGCAAGCCTGCACCCAAGGGCTGGGAGCTTTCTCTCTGGTACTCCGTTATTGCAAATCCAGGTAACTGTTTATTTCATGTGAGTTGAGGGTCTGCTAATGGCTCTCAGAAAGTTACAGGTTTTAAATAAGTGAATTTATTTGCAAAATTGATGTGCATATAATTATTGGGAGGGCTGTTTCTTTTGGCTTTCTTTTCTCTGCCTTACCTATGCACATGCGTAGACATCCTGGCTTGCCAAGGGAAGTCAAGTGCTCACAGTGTTCACATTTGAGCTCTGTTCCAGTTTTCACTTAATCAACTCACTCAGTTCTCTCTCTCTTTGTTCTCTACGATGTTTCCCCCACATCTCACAGCAGCCTCCTTTGTGCTGCAGTTGGAGGGCAGCTCTGCATGGTGGGACTGCAGGATCTTAACCACCTGGCATTTGGCAGTAGGCAGGGCAGAGCTGCACCTTATAGAGCAGTGGTTCTCAACCTTTTTTATACCAGGACCCATTTGTAAATATCAATAGCCAGTTCTGACCCAGTGCCCCTCACTCCTGACCTGCTGCCCCCCCACATCCAGCCCCCAGCCCCTCAGTCTCTGGGTGTGCGCTCTTAGAGCTCTGCCAGCCTGCAAGGGAAAAGCCATGTTTCCCTCATTTTCCTCCTTTAAAGGAGAATCCATTTTTAAAGTTTGTTTGCGATCCTTTCATATATTTTTACGACCCACTTTTGGGTCGTGCCCTATGGGTTGAGAAACACTGTTGTACAGCAATTGTTTCAGAGCTGCTTAGCTTTCGTGAGCAACACATCAATCACACTTTCCGCTCCATAAAGAAAGAGCAAAGCCAGGCAAGGAGGCAGAAGGGGGCTGGAAGTCTCTTGGAAGTAGCAGAGGCCCAGGAGCCCTGTGGCTTCCTGAACTCTCCAGATCTGTCTTCCTCAGGCCCCTGCAACACATTACATCCATCTACTACGCCATTCACTGGTGAATCGTGCAATAAACAGAGACAAAGCAACAAGTGCAGGACCCAAACGACTCTCCCGCTCTACAAAGCGCGTGCTTGGAAAAGTGGGATAACTCCCGCCTGGCTGGGTACTAGATAGGCTTTTTCTTTCAGTGTCTACAGGGCCCTTTAAATGGCCTGCCAGCCGCTGCAGCACCCTGGCGGCCCGTAGGGGGCGCCCTCATCCTGAACGGGGATAGCGCAGGGGCTGCGAGATAGAGCACTTCCGGACGTGATCTTGCCCTGAGGCTCCCGGAAGGGTCCTCGCCAAAGGATCCCGGATGTGGTCTTGCCCCGAGCCTCCCGGAAGCCCACGGGCCCCTGACTGGCTGGAGCCGGTGGCGGTGACGCCATCTCCCGGCGACGCGCTGGCGCCGAGGCGCCATGCCGGGCCGCCGGTCCTCTAGAGAGAAGAAGCGGCGCCGCTCTCGCTCTTGCTGCCCGGAACCCGCCGTGGCCGCGGGGGGCGGTGACAGGAAGCGGCGCAGCACCGAGGCCGGCCGCGGCCTCCCCGAGGTAACGGGGGTCCCGTCCTCCGCCCCCAGCGCGGCCCCTGCTGCGGCGGGGGTGTGGCGGGGGGTCTGGCTGGGGCTGACCCTGCCTTGAGCGGGGCTTGGGCTCCCCGCCTGCGGTCTCTCCCCGTCCTTGTGCCCGTCTCCTGTGAGCCTGCTCGTGGCGCTGCAACAGCGGGGGCCCACACGTGGGAAACGGTGACAAGTGACTGTTTTCCATGTGTGGGCTTGAATTACTGGGGGCGGGGCAGAGGGGCCGTCTTCAATTCCGGCTGTCTTGGATTTAGTCAAAGGCAGCACTGGGTGTTTGGCTGTGAGGGCAGCGCAAGCAGGGTGGGTTTCTCTTTTATTGGACTGGTTGCAGCGTGGGGGAAGAGTTCGCTTTCAAATGCAAGATGGGCGCAGATTTCTCCCCCCCCCCCCACCCGTGTGGTGTGGTGCCTATGCCAGGGGTTGCCCTGAGAAATCCTCACCTTGCACATCATTCCCGAACTGTCGTGGCTGCAGGGCGAGCCTTGTGCTACATGAAACCAAGGCATTTTGGGTGCAAAGTTCCTTTGCTGCCCACAGTTGTTCTGGTCACAATGTGACCTGCAGTATTGTGGGTCATTTAATCCTGTCTTTCCAAGGGAGCCAGGCCACAAAACTGTTAGTTGCAGACTGCTGCTTTATAGCAAAACAGTTGTCAGCAGGTGATTCTCTGCAGTGCGCTATGTATAGTGTGTTACCTTGAGTTTGAAAAACCTAAGTACTTAACCAGAGTGCCCACACTTAATTTAGGCATTGTTTGTTAACTACAG